ACCTCGTTCTCGTCGCACGCAACGTCAAAGATCTCGAAGAGCGCAAGGCTGCCATCGAAAAGGAAGTGCCAGGCTCCGAGATTCTCGTGTTGGCCGGCGATATCTCTGGCGTCGAGGTTAGCAAGCGCGCTGTCCAGGCTGCTGTGCAGACATGGAACAAGGTCGATATCGTAGTGGCCAACTCTGGCCTGGTTCAGGGTGGCGCAGAGAGTACGTCGAACGACGCCTTCACATTGGCTGTGAGACAGGTGCTGATCTATGCTGCTATACAGAGTTTCACCAGAAGGATCCTTTGGGATGGTGGTATACGCAGGAGGTCAATGTGAAAGGCACGCTTAACATCGTCCAGTACGTCTATGTCAGGAGTATGCTGCGGGATCTCGTTCGTTGAGGAGGCTTGTACCAGCGCGGCGATTCCCGAACTTCTCAAGACCAAAGGACAAGTGATCACAGTCTCTTCCTCGCTGGCGCATGCACGTGTCCCTATCCTGGCGGACTATAGTGTGCGCTTGTCGCGATTCTGTCTCATACCTGCTCACTCATCGTGCTTCAGATCAGCAAGCATACCGTCAATCGCTTCGTCGAAATCCTGGCGCTCGGTAGGTGCTTGTCGTACTTTGCATGCTAACCCTACATTAATATCTTCTTCTAGACTACCCCGAGCTTTCGTTCTACAGTGTTCACCCTGGAGTCATCTTGACACCTGGCTCGTCCGATGTTGCCGATCGGATGGGTACGCCGAAGGACCTTCGCACAATGCCGGACACGGTCGAGCTTCCAGCTGCGACCTTCCTCTGGCTCACAGCGCGGAACGCGGAGTTCCTTAGTGGTCGGTGAGTGGCTCTGCTCGTTGATACTATCGGCCAGCTCCTGACTGTCTGAATGCCTGCAGGTTTGTCCAGGCCACCTGGGATCTCAACGAAGTACTCGCTAAGAAGGATGAGATCGTGCGGGACAACCTGTTGGTCACGAAGCTCGCGGGCCCCGCCAAGTCTGCTTAATGACCGGTCGACAACTCTTTGCAATATGTCTACGCACAAGTACCCACTGCAGAACGTTATGTCCATGACTCTACAGCCCAGAAGAAAGCTCCCGCTCGATATGTACCACATGAAGCTATCGGTATTGGTGCTCAGCGATGCATTGATCTTTTTCACGTTGCGCGAAGCGCACCCACCCTCGAGTCCATATGTTGCCGTCATGGAAACTTGGAAAGCAGTCAAACTCCTGACTCCTCACGCCGTCAAGCTTGCCGTGGCACTGACGCGTAACATCGGGATGCTAGACAGGTCCCGTGCTCTCTGTCAGCACGTCGTCCGAAACGCTCCGAATACGTGCTTGGCGCTGACTGCCTCTATGATCATCCTGCACTTGCACGGGGTATAAGAGTTCATCAACATGTTCTATGCTGACGGGTGCATTGCAGGCGAGAAGCTTCTACACAACTCTACAGCAACATGAGCGTCCAAAATGAAGAAGAGTGCAGCATCTTCAGCTCCAAACACGAGTGCGTTATCTGCATTTCTCTCGCTGCCTGACCCACTCATCTCCGCCTACGCTAGTGTTTACCCGCTCATAGACCCAAAGCCACACTTCGAAGCGCAGACATTCCAGGACAAGGTTGTAATCATCACAGGCGGCTCGACCGGTATCGGCGCCGTGACGGCGACGATGTACGCCCGCGCCGGCGCTCACGTCCTCATCGTAGCACGCCGTGTCGATCGGCTCGAGAAGACAAAGTCCGAGATCGAGAAGACCGTCCCTAATGCTGAGGTGCTTATCGTTGCGGGTGACATCTCTAATTCTGAGGTAGGTAAGAAGGTCGTGAAGAGCGCGGTGGAGAAGTGGGGCAGGGTGGACGTAGTCATCGCCAATTCGGCGGTCGTCATGGGTGGAGGTGCTCGGTTCGGCGAAAAAGACGTGGAAAAGTGGTGGTATACGCAGGAAGTCAACGTGCGAGGGACGTTGAACATCATTCAGTGCGTTGGTTTCTGGTCTCGTATGTCGGGCTTGATTGACTGAACTTGGCGTAGTCCGGCTATTCCCGAGCTCCTCAAGACGAAGGGTCAGATCATTGTGACTACCTCCGACCTGGCGCACTCGCGCTTCCCTCTCTTGGCCGACTACAGTGTAAGCTTTTTGTGTCCCTTTGGGACTCTGGGAGACGAAGTGACTGATATCCTCCGTAGATCAGCAAGCATACGATCAACCGCTTCGTCGAGATCCTCGCGCTCGGTATGCTGTGCCCGGCGCTCTTTGTATGCACTCCTCTTGACATATTTTTCTAGACTACCCCGAACTCACTATCTACTCTGTGCACCCCGGGGTCATTCCGACTGACGGCGCGCTGGAGTTCCAAGAGAGGATGGGCATCAAAGGCACAGTCATCATGCCCGACACGGTCGAGCTCCCCGCGGCGACGTTCCTCTGGCTTACGAGCCGCAACGCCGAGATCCTCAACGGACGCTACGTGCAAGCTACATGGGAACTGAACGAGGTCGTCGCGAAGAAGGATGAGATTGTGCACGATAATCTGCTCGTTACGAAGCTCGCGGGCCCGAACTTGGCCAGAAGTAGCGTGTAGAGAGGTGCTTCGTGATAGCTACCGAGTAGGCTCGGCTCTTTGGCAACGTTGAGCGGTAACCATACCACCAGTTATGTAAATTAAATGCTCGCGAAGGGCCAGTTGAACCCGGGAATTGCATGCCTTGGTCGATGCGGGACCGAAAGCTGACCCTAACCCCGGTCGCGCGAGCGAGCGTCCACCGGCCGATCCGAACGCCGATCGGACTCGCGTCCTGCTTGCGCAAGCTGAGTCTTTACATCTCAGGGCGCCAGTATCTGCGTAGTACAGGATGGTACTGGTGTCTCTCTGTTCAGTGTCTGGCTCGAAAGGCCTTTCGGGCCTTCGTCGAAGCGCAGGGTCAGAATCGTGGCGGCTGTGCGTTCCAAGTGGCTCAACCGAGGTCTACACTCTGTAGGTTCGACTCAAACCCCTCGCCATTCTTGATTTGAGACTATACACTCTGGGCAACTCCCAGCGTATGCGTGCGGGCTGTAGGACCATAAGATGCATGACCTTACAGAGAATGGGATGGCACAGCCAAATCAAGTGCCTATAGATTGCATGGGAAAGTCAGCTACGAATACGCATGTGTATACAGATAAATCCGAATAAAATCAATGACAAGCAGATACGGCAGGGCCGCGGAATCATACGAGCCCTCTCCCGCCCATCCTGACGGTATCAACCACAGCCCTCAAACTCTCCTCCCAAAGCGTCCGGAATACACCCGCTCTCGCCTGTCCCTGGCCCAGCCTTCTCCTAACATCTGATACGGCAGCGGCCGAAGGCGTTGCAGAGGACGATCGTCTTCGTAGTCGGAACACCAAGGAGAGCAGTGGGATGAGTACGACTGCTAGTGCAGCTGCGAGGTGCGATAGTGATAGGCCGTGTGCGAGATATGGTCGGATTGCGGTGCGGAGAAGGGCGATCATCCCAGGTGGTGAAGTCGTTTGCGCGGGTACGAGCTGTGTTGGGGCGCCGTTCATGTTTGCGTGTCCGTTGGAAGTTGACGGTACGCGGAAGGATGGCGGTCTTGCAACTCGTTTTGCAGAGGACACAGGCGTCACAGTCCGCGAAGTAGCAGCCGACGGCACATTAGAAGCATCTTGAGGCTTCCTCGGCACAGGCGACAGTGGCGTAAGTCCATTGGTGGAGATACTCCCCCGTCCCTTCGGTGTCGCAGGTACGGCCGTATGTGTCGAAGTCGTCGATAGACTCGACGAGGACGAGGAGGGCGATAATGGGCGGGAAGCTGATGGCGAAAAAGATGCTGATGGCGAAGAAGGCGCAGAGGTGGACGCGCTCGCGGCGTTCCGCGCGGCTTCTTGGGCGGCGATGTGGCGCGCATGTAGGGCTGACAGGGATAACACCAGACGCTAAAAAGGATATGGCACTTCAGTTCATGTCCGTATGGGATAGATGCGGGCGAATGTACCTGTTTGGTTTCTGGGTCCATCTCTGTCTCATAGTGCAAGAATTCGGCCGCGTACTCCCACTCGTCCAAAGCGGGCAAGATGCTCGTGCAGTAGACCTCCAGCACTTTATCGTATCCTTCGTCCCCGGGCGCCTGGGAAGAAATAACATGACTCCTCCTTGCAAGCCACTCCTCCACGATATTCCTGCCGATAGCCGGCGCGTTGATTTTGACGCTAGCTGTGGCGAGAGTAACCACGACCGGTCCGGGCAAGTAAGCTGCATCGTGGCTGGCGACGTCATACGGCGTGAAGAACTGCACGCTGCGTGCGTGCAGCGTTGAGATGAGCGAGGCGCCAGAGAGCATGGCGTTCGAGCGCAGTGGGGCCGGTATGCTCGCGCTGTCCTCCGGCGGCGCGGTGTAGACCGTGACCTCGAGCGTCAGCCGCAGAATATCCCATTTCCGCCTGTGTTCCGCGAGAGCGTCTGAGCCTGGCTGTGCGGAGGAGAGGAGGACGAGCGCAGAGGTGATGAGCGAGTGCGTGAGCGCTATGTCCCTGTGCAGGAACGCCCGGGCCGCGCGCGGGTACAGCGACCGCAGCGTCGCGGCCGTGCTCTTCGACCCCGGCGCTTTCTTCAGCGACACCACGCGCGTCGTCGGCGGGGGCGGCAGGGGCATCGTCATCGTCGTCGTGACGGACATCGGGACAGGCCAGTCGGGGCGAGAGCGAAGGAGCACAGGCGGGTTTCACATGGAAAGCCACACAATGTGCCGCGTATATAACCGACCCGCGCGTGCATCCTTGCTCTTGTTTTGTCATGTGGTAGAACGCGTTTGTATGTTTATGCAGACAATAGCTTGTATATGAAGTTCGCACGCTTGTTGTTCAGGTCGAGTCGTACATACAATAACGTAGATAATGCCAGTCAATTGTCTATCAGTCGCTAAGCCGCTTTGGGCTATTAGAGTTTACACGCTTGTACCGTCCTACTCCTGGTCCCACTTCTTGAAGCCGATGTATCCCTCAGCGCTCGGGGCATAGAAGAAGGGACGCTGGTAGGGCGTAAGCGGCTTATCGAGCCTCAGACGCTCCGGAAGGTCCGGCTGCAGAGGTCATCAGTTCAGGCTCATACAACAAACTCACAATACCACTCACGTTCGAGGTGTACCACCTGCCAAAGGATACGAGCGCGTTGCTCCTCTTCTCCGTGAGCTCGAGCGCCGTCTCGCGGGTGAACCCTCCTGCGGAGATGAACGGCTTGTCGGCGCCCCACGCCTCGCGGAACGCGTCGTTCGACTCGCCGGGCTTGACCTCGCGCGGCTGCTCGTTATCGACGCGAGGCTCGATGAAGTGCACGTAGGAGAGCTTGGGGTGCTGCGAGGCGAGGATCTTGAGGAGGTGGGTGTACACCGGAGTTGGGTCGGTCGTGTTCGTGTCTACCAGACAAGCGCATCAGTCTCAACGAACTAGGATGCTAAAGTGAACGAACGCACTCATGCTCGTAGGCCACGGCGAGAACCTGATCCCAACGCGATCCTCGCCGACAGCCTCGGCAACAGCATCGACAACCTCCACCGCAAACCTCGACATGTTCTCCGGCGAACCACCGTAAGCATCGGTACGGTCATTCGACGAGTCCTTCAAGAACTGCTCGATCAAGAACCCATGCGCCGCGTGGATCTCGACACCGTCGAAACCGGCTCCTTCGACGGCGTTACGCGCAGCCGTGGCGAAGTCCTTGATGTACTCTTTAATCTCGTCGACGGTCAGAGGACGAGGAGCGGGATCGGTGTCGGGACGACCGGGCTGAGGGATGGCTGACGCGCCGACGTAGGGATGGGCACCGAGGACGGCGGGCATGGCCATACGGCCGAAGGCCACACTGTAGTGCCCAGCCAGCAATGAGTAGACTTCAGAAATATCTATGTGAAACGTACAGCTGAAGGTAGATATACCCGCCCTTGGCGTGAACTGCATCGACCACCTGTGTCATCCATGTGCATGAGTATCCACCTTCACCAACGTCAAGAAACACGGCTCACCTTCTTCCACCCTTCAATCTGGTCCTCCCTCCAGATCCCCGGTACACCGAACGGGAACCCGCCAGCACGCTCAGCAATGACAGTAGCCTCACCGATGAAGAACGCGCCGGGCGTAGCGCGTTCAGACATGTACGTCGCCATCAAGTCCGTTGGGGTGTTGGTGGGGGTCGAGCGGCAGCGGGTGCATGCCGGGTGGACGATACGGTGCTGAAGGTCCATGCGGCCGACTTTGATGGGGCTGAAGAGAGCTGGAGTGGAAGACATGGTTGAGGTTTGCGTGAGGGAGCGGGAGAGGTGATTCGAGGTCGGTGTTGCCGATGGAGTTTTGAGCTGAAGGCGCTGGCCTTCTTATACGGCGTTGTTCTGGGAGTAAATTGGCATGTCTGTAAGCTGCACGGTAAGCTGCTGAGGGTACGGTCAGCGAGCGACAGTATCGAAAGCACTCGGCCGGCGATATGTCTCTGAGCTCGGACTTTGTGCCGGTGCGGTAAACGCGCTTGCTCCCGCTCCTGTACGACTTTTGGTGTCGGAAGGCGTACATTTCATTCACAGTGAGCCATCCTGGCCGCTTCGAATGGCTCTTGTAGTACTGGTGGACAGTGGAATTGACCTATAGGCGAGTGCGACGGCTCGCGGCTATCGCCGATGACAAACGCCGACGGCCTTCAGGTCTGGCGTGCATCCGGGTGCACTGCCGAAGCCAGTGCCAACGACCGCTGAAATAGCAAGCGAGATGATATATCGATCGGGTATATGGACAGTGGTCAGGTAATACAAAGTGAAGCGCCACAACATCGACCTTGGGAGTTGTTAGACACGTGCGCCGACGAAGTGGTGCTTATGAACGTACATTCAGACTCGGTAAGGATTGAGCGGGCGCGATTGCATCTCCAAACTCGCGGTATACATTCAGTTGTATAGCAAATACACGAGAGTAGGAGCTCTCAATGCAGAGATCAAGTCTGGTCGACGCTTCTCGGATTGACCACGTCGGCGTACAGGGAGGTGCCGTCGTAGCAACGCGATGCCGAACCGTCCACTGGCGCTTCAAAAGCACAGAGATCTAGCGCTGAACATCACCCCTTCCCATCGCTTAGGCTGTATCCACGCTAGCAGCGGACGTTTAAACGGTCGCGAGTGTATTTCCAGCAGCGACCATGGGCATAGGTCGTTTCGAGAACACGAGCTTCTTCCGCACGATAGCACGTATTGCGTATGACGGAGGCGTGGCGGACGAGCTTATACTAGCATCTTCAGAGTCTTCTGGCTCTCGTGACTGCTTCTCGAGTACTGCCAACGGCTTGGACAGGTTGACGATCTTGCCCTCGAGTAGATGGTGACCGACGCGTAGCGATGGCTTCTTCTGTACGCCGTGGCATTTAACACGAGTGCATATCATGACACAGAGTCTGTAGCGTACCTTCCCTTCAGGATCTAGCGTGAGTTTGGCCGCGACCTGTCCGCTCTTGTCTCCCTCGACTTCCAACTCGCCCTGAAGTTCTACAAGTGCAACCTCCGAAGTCCCGATATTGGCAAGAGTTGGCGGCAAGCTCTGGCCAGAACCGTTGAATGTGCGAGTGTCAATGTTGATTATCATACCAGTCCTAAGTATGGCGCCGTGCGTGGACGAGGCAGAGTATGCAGGTGTGAGTAGTGGCGAGAGCAGAGTCGCGGTGATGGTGCACTTGTGGTGCACGCATGAACTTGACACGTATGTGTTGATTGATGTGACCTGACGCGCTTTGTGACAGAGCGCGAGCCCGAGGACGCGCGGACCGTCGTCGATCCTTGTCTCGGACCACCACCACCGTCAATTTACGTAACTTGACATTCTGCACGCGTGTGGCTCTGGAGGATACGCCGATTCGAATGTAAATGTCGCCTATATGTTGTACTCAATATTACAAGAACAATCTTGCTTGCCATCCTGGCTATTCGCCGCGTCGACGTCGACTTGTTGCTTGTTGCAACTGCTTGTCTGACGCATTCAAGGGGTCAATAAATGGATACAGGCAGGCACACCGGACAGTACTGTGACCATAGTGCTCCGAATAGCGGGCGCAATGGCAGTACTACTGATGCTCTCATTTGTGGCGTGGTGCACTTAGGGCGCATCACGTATTGGGGGCGTGTAAAGCAATCTATCGATCAACTGCAGAGGGTTGGCAGAGGGCTGTATCGCAGGTGCGTGAGATCATATATCTCATTGCGGTTCACCAGGCTAAACAAGTCTCCCAGGGAACCTTCGCGAGATGCCTGTCAGAAGAAATCCCATCGCTACTGGCACCGCCTCGGGCCTCGTGAATCACACCTGTCATATCTTGTCGATCGTCCATAGAACGCTTGCCTCTAAAGGAAACTTAAATCAGGCTTGCGATCAGAAGAAAATGCGGATGAGGACGGTCGTACTCGATTTCTGCGGCGTGCCAGCGCTACCACTGTACTGGTACCCTATATCTCTCCTTCAACAACAGAAGCGTAGGTCAGTCTCTGCCACCTCTGTCATGCACCGGAAGAATAAGAATGCCGACCATTCTACAGCGTTCCCGATTCCGCCGCAGTGCCGATTCGGTACCGCTCAACGTCGGCCTCCGTGGGTTCTGTTTCAGACTTGATATTTTCAACTGACAGCTCTCGAGGGCAGTGTGATGATAGCCTACCCATACTGCGAGGGTCCTTTTGGTACCGGACGAGGCGTTGCGGCTGTCTAGAATCGACAGGTGTCAGCTTCCGCAACGAGATGGCAATCGGTTTGCCTCTTGACGCTTGGAGACACGATGTTCTTTCTCTCAAAAGTTTGAAAGTCCGACAATGACATATACGCCTATATGGAAGTTGTCTATGCATGTCAGGCACTCCCACCAACAGTGTGCGCACAGTCAATGCTTTGGCGATGCCACAAACGCGGAAACCTCTGCTCCCGTGTTACGCCGGCGGAACCGTGAATCTTCACTAGGTTCCTCTCCTACAACCCAAACACACAGCCTTATGGATGGGATGGCGCGATCGTCTGACACTCAGACATGGGTAGCGCATGCGGTTAGGTACGTGCTCGTCCTATCACGAGATAGGGAGATGCTTATGAGGTACTGTACATTGTCCAGGTTGAGAAGAGTCTAAGCGCAATCGACCTACCGGTCGATGTGTATCTCGGCCCGAAGCCAAAGCTTACGCCCCATGACGGCTCACCTACGGTTTACGCGATACCGCATGCGAAGCTCGCTCCGTCGCTCGCAATTGGCGTACCGAGCGTGCGACGATACCGTCCCCCAACGATACTTCAATCGTGTAAACAGCGTGTCTGTTTACTCTGAACAGGATTGCGTCCAACAGCAGTAGGAGAAGTGATGAGGAATTTGTCATGATGGGCCACGACGTCCAGCTCGTGGTTGACCTTACGACGCAAGCACAGCCTGACGACACATGTCACGAGGCTACACTCCCCCGCCAGCGCTTCTGCAACGCACTCGCGAGAGTCTTCTCCCTCTCTCTGGAGCATCGCCGACGGCTTGAAGATCTCTCGCGTACCACTGATTGGCGTACGGGCCGCTCGTGCCCCTCCGCAGTTGGAGGCTGTGCCGCCTTTCCCATCGCTCAGCGCTCAGCAAGTTTACTCCGAATCTCAATTTAATCTCTAATACGGGTCAATACCAGCCCCTGTCGAAGTCCGACGCTCGCGATTGCAGGCAACAACGAGGATCAGTGCAGCACTCGCTACTAGAGTTCTACGTCAGAGGCATACGTAGTTTCTGGCGAGAAATCAGGATGTTATCGGTGACCACCATGCCAAGTTAACTCGATCGCCCCTCTAGAATAATCGACGCAAGCAGATGCAGCCTCTGCTAGACTATTCACCTCGAACATCGCGAAGTTGTACCCACAAGCCGCGTAGTATTGGGCAAGAGGTTGGTTTGAGCCTCATGGTCAAGACATATACTGAGGGACAGTTCCGCACAGGGTTGGTTTGAGTTACCTGACATCTGTACACTACAATGGCTGTGCTACGCCGACGTTACTCCACGCATCACCTTCTATCTCGTTTTGCACCTAGCCTTACCGGTATCCTCATCCTTCAGCCGAGGGCGGACCGTACATACTCGCGCTGTATGCATCATATGTGAAAGCAGGACGACTCTGAGCGCTTTTGAACCTCATGCTCGCTTATAGGTTGCCATGAGCCTGTCATAGAGTACGCGGCCTTCAATTTGCGTGCGGGATCTTCGTCGCGTCGGTTTCATCAGATTGAGATATCGCAACCGCTTGGGCTGCAGGATGGGGTGCGTGAATCGACCCTTACCACGTTCCGGATAGCTTAGGGGATGCGCAGCGAAGCAGTGCAGATTTGCCTGCAAGATGTTCTTCTGGATGTCATCTCGGTCTTGACGGAGTATGTAGGTGATGCACGGGTCCTCCTATTCTTTCCGCGACACCCCCAGCTGAGCAGCTCTTCTCATCGAAGCTGACTGCTACTCTCGATAGTGATGCTATTCGCATAGAGAGGAATTTGAATAGGTCTTCTGCCGATCGACCAATGATGTATCGGACCCGAGTAATCCAGGTATGATTCCACGAACCCTCATAGACCCACTTCGGCTAAGGATTCATCTCTCAAGCGATGCAGGCCGCTCAGCCCTTGGCTTTGCTTCGTGTCTGCATCTCGCTGGTTTACAGGTTCCAGCTCCCTATCTTACAACTCCTGCAGTAGCTGTATTGCCGGTCTTGCTCAAGCTGCCCTCCTCGTTTGCTGTATGTGTTTCTTAGTCGTGAGCAAGCCAACAACTCGAGCATCTTGGTAGGCGCCCATAGCCTACAAGTGGTCTGGCTAATCTCTGCACGTAAGCATGGGTATATCCTTCACAGTTCAAACGTACAAGCTCAAGGTTCGTCATGCTCCTTGCGCCTCTTTACCTTCATCTCACTTTCCAGTAGAAGCTTGACCCCGGGATCTCTCAGTATCCTGCGCTACGCATCCAAGACAACATAACCCCATGCCAAGGTTCGCCAATATTGACAGGGCGCCGACGGATACGGCCGTTTCCGTGTATTTACACTTGGCAACGTGAAGTCCCAGCGTGAGGTCTTCGCGCCACTAAACCGGTCCGGTTAGATCCGGAGCCGGGCGTTGGGCGTCTGGGGCACTACACGAAGACTTTCACAGTCACGGCCCCTCCGGGGCATCACCGGGGCCTAACTTCCTTCTCGCTTCGAACTTATATGTAGTAGAGCATGTACGGTATCATCCATAGAAGGAGAATAGACTGAGTTCGGGCGATGACAGAGCCGTTGACGCGCGGCTCTTCGCGGCCGCGCTTCGCGCGACCGCTTCGAGCTGTGCGCGCCCAAACATGGCATGTACGGATAATCTGAGCAACTCACACGAAGTGCCAAAGATAGACACGTGCTTCGCTACAGTACATTGCCGCGCAAACCAGTCTGTAGAGGGGGGTCATAATCGCGGGCTCCAAGGGGTTTCTCGATCTATCCGAGCGCGAGGAATCCTTCGACGAAGGCTGCGAACTGGCCGGCGGTCGTACTCGTTGGGTTGTGTTCAACACTCGAAAGCCTGCACCAATCCGGGAGCGGCACTGTCTGAGCTCTTAACTTCGGACGGATACACACCAACCGGTAGGACGACTCGGTTTCATGATCACACCATGATCATGAACAGGGTTCTCGCACGGACTCCCGCATTCTTGACCTATTCTGGACAACTTCGATGTCAACGCCTTCTGTGACCAACTCTTCTACTGCCTGATTTTGGACCATTCATGTTAGGTTTTGATGGGTGTCACAACACTGCCAGAACCTCGACACGACTCTCCGCTTCCAACCTCTTATCCTAAAGCTTTCCATCATATGCAGACGAACGACGCCGTCTACACATCATGCACTACTCTAGATCTTTGTTAACATGTGTACAGCAGGGAGAAGGTATATCGATAACTACGAGTCTGCCCAGGGACCGTATGGTAACCTGCGTAAACAGTGATTCACTCCACCGGGACACGCCACGCGATAGACGAAGGCTGAGCACATTGAGCACATAACCCCAAAGGGTATTTATAGGTTTATATCACAGTCGCGTGAGCGAGCATCGCCGAAGCGGCGGGATGTCACATCCACGGTGTCCTGAACAGAGCAGCACCGAACCGAAGTACGACGAGCAATGAACGGAGAGTGGATGGAGAGGCTGGATGAAAATGAAAATGCACATCAGCGAGAGCTGCCTCCTAGGGAAGGACACACGTACCCCTATGATGTAAATGACGAATTGTTCCAACGACCTGGACAATATCAAGATCGTTACATTTGCGAACCTGGGACGGTTGAGATCTGTTGAAATTGTCGAACACGGGCACTTCGCAGCAGACAGAAGAGGGTAAGCCACTAGTGTGAGCGCAAGAAACTGGCGGGGAACCCGAGATATCATATCCTGGATGTTGGTCGCAGCGCACGGGTGCACTACAAGCTGCTCAACCCAGGAGCAGCGCCAAGCAAAAATAGCAAGCAAGAGACGAAGCAGCGAGGCAGCGATCTCGCGCACAGAGCCCAGCTCGAGGACTCAAGGGTAGTGGCCATGGTGGTCAGAGCGAAGAAGGAGAGGAGTAAGAGTGAACTGACAAATATGGGAGGATGATGACATCAGAGAGGAAGAGCACGGCGATGCGACGCAGGCGTGCGAAAGTTCCTCGGCCCGCCGCGGCGCGGAAATGTTCGTTTTTCAGGCAAGCCGGGTCATTAGCCCCGGAATGATCCATCCTTGGTCCTTCCGCGGAGGCGTATGTCTTTGAGTAAGTACCTCCAAGGGTTACTGCGCCAAGTCCACTTCTAGTGCATAGTGCCGAACTTGCGAGCATAATGCTCACAGCCCGTCGCACATTTCACGCGATTGTCGCGCGGCGGACGCGGGGCGGGCTAGTACGCGCGTTCCAGTCACTACTTTGGACGTTCGTGTCCAGGCAGAGGCTGTGTGTCTGTAACCCCTCGTACCAGTGCAACTAGGCCTTTGAAGGAAGGTGAGAACACCCGAGCTATCATCGATATGCTAATTTTCTACTCACAGGTCGCAATCTCTGGAAATATATGTCACTCCTGCTCCCGAGAGACTGCTTGGCCGATCCAAGACGCGAATCTGTGTGCGCCAAGGGAAGGGTGCTTTCACCGTCGGCCCTGCGCGCCGTTGCGGGTCCGTCGGTCGATAGCGGTCGACTTATCTGACAAAAGGTCGTTGCATGTGCAGTGAGGCGGTGCTCGGTTCCATTCGTGTCGTGCCGCTTTCAAATGCCTATCTCTCCACCCGCGAGAGCATGACGGCCGCGTAAGCGATGTTCACGAGGAGCGCGATCTGCCAATCCGATGGCACACTCCCCCACCGGTGTAAGCCAAGTGTAAGCGCTCAGAGCTGGAGGTGGGTCCACGTCTGTCCACGTAGGCGCACAAGTAATACAAAGGCGGATGGCCCGCATTCGTATTCCGAAGACGGATACATTCCGAGTGCCCAGGCGCCCAGGTGTAGAGGAATCAACCCGATCACAGTAGAGATCGGACCGGAACGTGTTCTTTGTGCGCTCGGAGGGCCATGGCAGGCACTGACCACATCAGCCACGCGGTACGCGTCACGGCGTTCACCATAGTCCAGGATGGTGCGTGAGGCACATGAGGAGAACCGTTTGGTACGGACCAGATATCGTGCCTTACGTCAGGTAGTCATGAAAGCGGTGACTCAGATAATTTGGACACCCGCGGAACGATACTTACAGCGCTTTTCGGAATCCCGCTCGAGCCAAGTAAAGGAGGCTGGACAGAGGGCATGAGCAGGAGATGGCCATTGAGAAAGAGTTTGAACTCCTAGCCATGCTTCAGTCATATGCATGTGAGGGCTGGAGGTGTCTGGAGGTGTCAGAGCGCGCCTCGATTAGCGCTAGAGCGAGGCAGTGCGAAGTCGCCTGAAGGCGCTAAGTGAATGAACATGGTGAGAAGGTCAGTATTCACTTTGTGAGACAATAGTGTCTTTCGATGCAGGTGCATGCCTGTGGCGCCAGGACAGTTTTCTGAAATGTCATAAACCCAGTGACCGTATTGTAGGAACAAGTTCGTAGCGTCGACGCGCCAACACGACTCGGCCTTCTGGGGTCCTCTGACACCTCCAGACCGCCCTATTCATACGTACCATGCAGGAACAATGTACGTGCTATCATGTCATACGTAGGTTCACGAGGAAGTCAAAGTCCCTGATATGTGATAGCCCCTTTTTAATGCTATCTTGCGACTGTTGGACTCGTTGCTAGCCCGCTCAACGTTCGCTCAGCGCTCAACATGTGTAAGTAATAACAATGATAACGGGTAGGAGACTCCACGAGACTCCGCGCCTCCACCTCATACGCATATGTCTGATGATATACCTACGCACGAGAGCGATCTCTGAAAGCAGCGAGGAAATCCCCACGATCCGAATCCCTTAGTTGTAAGTTGATCGTAGAGAGATGACAAGTACGATAGCTCACCTACAGACGCCGCAAGATGACACTCCGAGTACAGACGTTGTATTGCTGCTGGCTGAATAGTATATCGATCAAACGCCGATCGTTTCAAAGCGGCATATGCCTGAACGCTACAGTGGTCCGCGTTGCGCCTGGTCATCGCTGTCCAATCGCAGATCCAGGGGAGGGGTACAAGTACATGCATGTCGAAGTGCATGACGGCTTCTTCTTAAGGAAGGTGTATGCTTCTCCGCGTCTCGGCATCTCACGGCCAGAACTGTGTGAGTATATCGTGTGTAGAGGTTGAAGGCAAAGCCTGAGTCAACTGGTGCAAATGGCAGGTTCATGCATGTATGCGGCGTGCCCAGTTAGCGCGATGCCCCACGAAAGGATCCGAACTTCTGTATCGGACGCCGATAACTGATCCGCACCTAGGGCGCGTACACACGGCAGCGGCGGATACCATCGTGCAATTAGACCCGGGGAAACACGAGGATGCGGGGTGTTATGGGGTTGAATAGGGGATACCGGCAGAACATGCGCACGATGGCATTATACCCTATAGGTAACTCTATGGGCTGATGATTCTTCATATAGCTTCAAGATAAAGACGAACACCTACCCATGAACCGGGTCATAGTCTCCACAACCTTCTACATCACACGGCAGATTGTCGAATCGACTTCCAGAACCAAAGCCTTGCTCAGGTCAGAGGGCCCTCGCTCTACAATCAAGTCAGCGATCTGAATAATCGACTCTCCCCTATAAAAGACTGTGTGCGTCAGTTGACTGTCCGCGCGCATGCATAAAGGACAATGATTCTTTTGTTCCCTCCATCGAGCTGCTGTTCTCCCTGCACACTGCACGTTCTTGCACAGGACACGATCAAGCAGAACGCATAGAGGGCCGAATCATGCAGGATGCGTACGTGAAGGCGCAGTAGGCTGACTGTGAGTCTCTTTCGCCATTATTCACACTCGAGTCCACGCTCAAGGGAAGAACGTGACTAGTGAGTGAGGTGCATAGCCAGTGCTGACTATCGCGGCGTGAGCGGAAAGGCCGCCGTTGTTCAGCGAGGCGCAAAACACCCGCAGGTGAACAGATGTGCAGGGCGCGGCGGGCAAAGGGATGCCGCAGAACCCTGGGCATCGAACAGCTCGGCAAGATGTGAGATGCACGGCGCAGTGGAACGCGAGTTGATCTCGAACGCACTAACAATCTCGATGGTTGAAGTCGAAAGCGATACCAGATGCAACGAGTCGGGGTGTGCGCGCGAAGATCGTGTAAATCGTGAGGAACGAACCCCGAAGGTGTCGGTTAGGGGCGCGCACGCGGTTGAGACAAGGATCGGCGACCACTACAAGTTGAGAGCAAGTCCGGGCCGGTGGCGTTAGGCCCCCTTGCACAGGCAGAAGGCGTGAGGCGCTGAGTATTGAGAAGTCGTCGGAGGCGTAGGGAACGGCGAATCCCCGATCCAAATCGGGCTTCGCGGAGGACACAGGCTTCTGCTGCATTGATGATTGCCAGGACGTTGGCGCGGCTTGCTCCGGGGGAAAGGCTACAAACGCCACGAAACAAAGGAAAAGACGACGCTACGATCAGTATCCTTTGGTGACCGTAGGTCCATAACTGCTGGCATCTGCACAGATCTAGCACAGCGACCGGATCGAGGAAGGAAAACGCAGGATTGTCCGACGGACGAAGGAGGGCAATCCGGCGTTTCGGGAACGCGAGAACCGCGCGGTGGAAAACCGGGACAAAGAGACATCTCACACGAGGCTATGAAGCTGTGGTCCCTAGGCTGTATCGAGAGTAAATGCATATTGAATAATTTGAGCTGGGCTTGTGTGCAAAACTGCGAGGGATGGAATCGAACGAACGAGGAGTTCGGGGCTGCGCGCCTCGGCATCCAAGCGAGACAGATTCTGGGCATTGCTTGGACTCGTCATCGTTCATAGCATCATAGCGCCCGGATAGCTGGCGTCAATGGGTTCTGAAAGTAGGGAACAACAAGCACGGCCAACCCAAGGACAAGCAAGCGCCACCGGCCTGCGTATAAGTAGGGGGGGATGGGTGATGGGGGTAGGATACAACGCCTGAGAATCGTTATCTGGCGCCGAGCCCAAAGGGACCCATTTGTTACAACAAGCTCGTGCCTTGTGGCTACTGCCGTTGCACTGCCTCGAGAATTCTGGTTCGAAACTCCTCATTCTCTTTTATTCCTTACACCCTCACGGCCACCTGTAGTCTCCCCATTTCCCTCTCTCTCCCGCTGGCTGCTCTCAGATGTCTAGTCCTCCAACTCCCAATGAGGAGAGCGCGCCGGTGATTGCCGTCACAGGCGAGAGCACGCCGTCACGAACAGGTTCGAGTTGACATTTCCTTTGACGCTTACTAGGACGACTAGCTCATAACTTCCCATGGGCACAGAAAGCCCCGCAATCCCACAGATAGCTGTATTTGGAGGCAGTACGGAAAATCTCGATACACATGGCGGACCATATAACCCGCCGCCGTCTCCTACACCGACTCAATCCAGTACTGGCTCTGTACAGTGGGCTTCTTCGCTTGCTCTCCGCGACAACACGCCCGGCAACGGCGTCACCTCGCTCGGCCTCCTTGGTGTTCCCAGTGGCCACCGTCGCCGCGGTTCGTCCGCAACAACGGGCAGCACAGGTTCCGAAACTGTTGCCGGCGACCACACCATCGACGTTCCGCTAAGTCCGAAGAGTGATTACTCTTCGCTGGGCAGTCCTACCCACACGCACGTTGATGACGGCGAACTGAGCCGGAGTCCAAGCCGGAGTACGGATGGAGGCAAGGGCAAGGGCAAGCACCGCTTGAGCAGACCCAACTCGCCATCCCTGTCACCCTCGCCGTCACCACGCCCCTCATCTGATGGTCGGAGGTCCTCGGAGGAGTCCGCGTCGAGACGGTCGAACAAGGGTAGTGATCATCAGGAGGAGGGTGTTGAGATGAAGGACAAGCGTCCTGAACAGGCTGCGCTCGAGGACGATGACAACGCCGACCCCGCCCCCTTCAAGTTCAACCCCCGAGTGCTGGCCAATCTCGTGGATCCCAAGAGTCTGGAGGCATTAGATGAACTCGGCGGTGTAGATGGACTGCTCTCGGGCCTTGGCACTCGAGCCGACTCTGGGCTTAGTTCCAGCCCGGGCCGCAGTAGCGAACATGGGACGAGGAATAGCAGCGAGCATACCACGCATGCTAGCGAACTCGCCAAGCGTCCAAGTATCACCCTCAACGACGGCGAGCTGGACGAGAATGATGTCCCCAGCCTCAGAGCTGGTACCAGCCAGGCGCATTACAACGCCGGAGCTGCGGACTCTGGCGATGCTTTTGGCGCGGATATGGAGACCCGTACGCGCGTCTATGGGCACAACGTCTTGCCTGCACGTGCGAGCAAGAGTCTGCTGCGACTCATGTGGGATGCCCTAACCGACCGAGTCCTCATTCTGTTGAGCGTCGCGGCCGTCGTCTCGCTCGCCCTCGGCTTCTTCCAAGATTTCGGACCCGCGCGCGACCCCGACCAACCTCCGGTGCGTCATGCCTGCTCCCACGCAGTCAAAACCGTATAGCACGTGTCACTGACGTTTGGCGCCCCCTTTACTTGTTTCAGGTCGATTGGGTTGAAGGTGTCGCGATCATCGTCGCCATTATGGTTGTCGTACTGGTTGGCAGTTTGAATGATTGGCAGAAGGAGCGTCAATTCCAGGTGTTGAACGCGAAGAAGGAAGACCGTGCGGTCAAGGTGCGGTTCTCGATGCTTACCTCCCCTTTGGGCAGAAGCCTAGGCTTAAAGGGATAAGTCATGCTGACATGCGTGTGTGCGCACAGGTCATCCGGGACGGCGAAGAACGCCTGGTCGGCGTGCACGATGTTGTCGTTGGTGATATCGCACTTCTCGAACCGGGCGAAGTCGTCCCGTGCGACGGCGTCTTTTTGTCGGGTCACAATATCAAGTGCGACGAATCGGGTGCTACAGGCGAAAGTGATGCCATTCGGAAGGTACAACACCTGCTTTGACTTTTGTGATCAGCGCTCATACGCAAGCACGACAGGTCTCTTACGCTGAATGCCTTGAGCTGCTGAACAAGAAACGCGCGGAGAAGGGCACGGGTGCGGAAGGCAAGCGCGCGCTCGAGGTCCTCGGTCACACGGACTGCTTCATCGTCTCTGGGTCCCGCGTTCTGGAGGGCGTTGGTCGATACGTCGTCATCGCCGTCGGAACTAGGAGCTTCAACGGTCGCATTATGATGGGTGAGTGGCGCTTTACCGAGCGCTCGATATATATCATCTTCTTGTATCGGCGTCTAATTATATCTTGACAGCTCTGCGCGGCGATGCGGAGGATACTCCCTTACAAGGCAAACTTAACCGACTCGCTGATCTTATCGCATGGGCGGGTATGATCGCCGGTTTGGTCCTATTCGTCGGCCTCATGATCCGGTTCTTCGTTCAATTGGGCACTGGCGAACCTGCGATGACCGTACGCTTTAGAATTGTTCAATGCGCTCATGTTATTGATTATCTTCTCTCATTATAGCCGGCCCAGAGGGGAATTTCGTTTGTCAACATCCTTATCATTGCAGTCACCTTGGTCGTCGTCGCTGTACCCGAAGGTCTTCCCCTGGCAGTGACAATCGCTCTCGCGTTTGCAACGAAACGCATGACAAAAGAACGCCTACTCGTGCGCGTCCTTGGATCTTGCGAGACAATGGCGAATGCGACGTCAGTTTCTATCGCCACATTCTAAATATAGTATGCTAATATTGACTCTTCAGCGTCGTATGCACGGACAAGACCGGAACGCTTACCCAGAACGAGATGACGGTCGTCGCCGGCTCGGTTGGCATCCACGCGAAGTTCGTACGCGACCTTGCAAATAACGGCGGGCGCGCGGAGACAGACGCTGGATCGAGCCCTGGCTCACCTTCGACTGAGGCTCAACGTTCAAGGCGTTTCGCACAGGATTTCCCGCTCGAGCTCTCCGACCTTGACCAGGTCCTTAGCCCCGCACTCCGTATGGCTTTCAACGAGTCCATCGCGTGCAACAGTACCGCGTTCGAGGATACAGACCCGGAGAGCGGCGCACGCATCTTTGTTGGTTCCAAGACCGAGACGGCTCTGTTGAAGATGGCCGTCGACTTGAAGTGGACCAACTACCGCACGACAAGGGAAGGCAAGGAGCAGCTTCAAGTGGTACCCTTCAGCTCGGAACGCAAGGCCATGGGTGTCGTCGTTCGACACGGCAAGGGTGCACGGTTCTACGTCAAAGGTGCCAGCGAGATCTTGGTCGACAAGTGCCGGAGCCATGTGGTCGTTCATAAGCCAGGAGAAGGCAAAGGCGGCAATGAGGATGAGATCGAGACGGCTGCGTTGAACGACGAAGACAAGGAGAACGTTTCGAGGACAATCACGTTCTACGCAGGCCAGTCACTCCGAACTATCGCAATTTGCTACAGGGACTTCGAACACTGGCCACCCGCCGATGCGGCTCTCGGTGAGGACGGCGAGGTAGGTTTTCATAGTCGTCGCGTCGTGTCCGCGTGAGATTGATTACCATTCACATAGATCCCCTACGACACCCTCGCGCGCGATCTCTGCCTTATCTCCATCACTGGTATCGAGGATCCCCTCCGCCAAGGAGTGCGCGGGGCCGTCGCAGACTGCACTCGCGCCGGCGTCCAGGTTAAGATGTGTACCGGTGACAATGTCCTTACGGCCCGCAGTATCGCGCGTCAGTGCGGTATCTACTCGCCCGGTGGAATCGTCATGGAAGGCCCTGTATTCCGCTCCCTCCCGCCGCACGTTCAGGAGCAGGTCGTCCCTCGTCTTCAGGTTCTCGCTCGCTCCAGTCCCGAGGATAAGCGCGTCCTCGTCGACACGCTCAAGCGCCTCGGCGAGGTCGTTGGTGTCACAGGCGATGGTACGAACGATGGTCCTGCGCTGAAGACGGCCGACGTCGGATTTAGCATGGGTATCGCCGGCACGGAGGTCGCGAAGGAAGCCAGTGACATCATTCTCATGGATGACAACTTCGCCAGCATCGTCAAGGCCATCATGTGGGGACGTGCAGTCAACGACGCTGTCCGCAAGTTCTTGCAGTTCCAGGTACGTACTTCCTACTCGTTCTCTTGTATGGTAGACTGACAGGCTGTATAGATCAGCACGAACGTCACGGCCGTTGTCATCACCATTGTCTCTGGTCTTGCCAGCTCTGATGAGGAATCCGTCCTCACAGCTGTCCAGCTGCTCTGGATCAACATCATCATGGACACCTTCGCCGCTCTCGCACTCGCCACGGACCCCGCCACGCCTACTTCGCTCGACCGCAAGCCCGACCGCAAGTGGGCGCCCCTCTTCAGCTGCGACATGCTCAAGCAGATCGTCGGTCAGAGCGCGTATCAGTGCATCATCATCTTGATCTTCCACTTCCTGGGCGCTCGCATTCTCGGGTTTGGTACCGATGAGACGGACAAGCGTGTCACAACGCTCGTCTTCAACGCCTTCGTCTTTGCGCAGATCGCCAACAGCTTCAACTGCCGCAAGCTTGACCAGAGGTTCAACATCTTCGAAGGAATGTCTCGTAACTGGTGGTTCATCGGTATCACCCTCATCGGTACGTTCTTCTCATGATCACTTGTGTGGCTTTGTTCCTAATCAGGCTCGCAGAAATTGGCGCTCAAATCCTCATCGTGTTCATTGGTGGCGCGGCGTTCTCAGTGACACGCATCGCCGGCCGCGAGTGGGGTATCTCCCTGGCACTCGGTTTCGTCTCGATTCCTCTCGGCGCGCTCATCCGTCTCGTCCCCAACGGCCCTTGCGAGAAGCTCTTCCGCGCCGTCCGCCTTCTCCCCCGCGATCCCACGCCCCTCCCGACAACAGCACCCGGCACCCCAGAGCCTGGTCTTGGCTTCGCGCTCGACATGCTCCGCAACAACCTCGGCACGTTCCAGCGCGTCCGTGGTGGTCGCCTCCGCTCGAGCTCTTTCGTCGTACGCAGTATGAATGCTGCTGGTCTCGCACCGCAGAAGCGTCCTCGCAATATCATTGCCGCGACGATGTTACCTAGTCTTCTTGGAGCGCATATGGTTGGCGCGAACTGGACGCCGAGTGGGCCTGGACAGGGAAGCTTGAGCGATCCGGCTGGATTCGATCCGAGCAGGAGCGCAGCGCAACTTTGGGAGACGAAGGTTGAGGTGCATCCCGACACACCTGCGGACGACCCGGTTTTCAAGCTGTTCCCTGGAGCTAGGCATGCTGAGCGGTAAACGCTGCGGGGCTGTCCAGGCGGACTCGCGCGGCGTTCGAGGTGTGCTCTAGGGCTTCACGAGGGTCAGTTCGTTCTCCACGCGTGAACACCGGGACGATCAATACGCAGGCAAATGCGTTCGGGATCGTGTGGCCAATTTATAAAACCAGCGTTCTCGTAGTTTTCGCTCAAGACGACATAGATGTTCTTCTTCCCCGCTATCTCATCGCTCCCGTCAACTTTCCGAATTCCCATATCTCTTCTGTCATCTCGTCTCCACACGCGTACTGTCTGTCTCGTCTCATGACCCCCTCGTCTATACGCTCCACGCCCCATCAACGTCCGTCTTGCGCCTCGTTAGCATTCTCTTCACACATACGGTTCTGACCTGCTACGTCTGCCTACATCCGTCTGCGTACCCTTAATCACGGTTATTACCCGCCAAACAACTTCTCGCTTGCATCTCTTTTGGAACTCTTCTTGCACTCTCTTATACCGT